CAGCTTTTTTTTTTTTTTTTTCTGTCTGAGACAGAGTCTCACTGTGTCGCCCAGGGTAGAGTGCTATGGTGTCATAGCTTACAGCAACCTCAAACTCTTGGGCTTAAGTGATTCTCTTGCCTGAGCCTTCCAAGTAGCTGGGACTACAGGTGTCTACCACAATGCCTGGCTATTTTTTATTGCAGTTGTCATTGTTGTTCAGCAAAGCCCCGACCGGGTTTGAACCCGCCAGCCTCTGTGTATGTGACTGATACCCTTACCACTGAGCTACGGGCACCGAGCCTCTAGGACAGTTTTATCTCCTGCTCTTTTGGGGTACAGAAGTAGTTGGCTTTTCCAATACTGGGAGGACCCAAGTCTTGGTCTTTGGAAGTATCTAAAGTTGTGAGTAGTTGTATAGTGAGTAATTACCTTATTTTTAAAAGTTAGAAATATCTCCAACAGACAATGCAGGTATATCCTAACGGGTTTTTAAAATTTAAAGGCAGTGAATATCCCCAAAATATTAGAGAAAGCAAATTCCCTATGTGTTTCATCAAGTAAAAGGCCAATTGAGTCTCTTGGATATATTTATATCAACTTGTTATGTACCAATTTGACCAACAGCTTGAGTCTACCCATTTATGTTACCTGTTGACTTTTTTTTTCTTTTATTTTTTGGTCAGGTCTCTGCATTCATTAACATTCAGCATCAATGTAGATGATACTTCTTACATTCAGACCTTTAGACCTCTGGACTACATATAGACTGCTACCCTTCCATAATCATGTCCTTCAGCTTTAGCTGTTTCCTGAAAACTTCCTTGCTATTCAATATTTCTCAGGACATTCTAGTCTAGACAAGACTTTAACACATCCCCTCTCATTCTGAGCTGTCCTCTTATACTTTACAGAAAAAGCAGAAGGATTCTGGAGAAACACCTCAATTTCCTACTTTTGCTGCCTCTCTTCATTCATTTTCTCTGGAGATATACCTAGTTTACCGTTCAGGAAAGTATTTAGTATCAGGTTAATCCCCTAGTACACTTAAGTCTCTCTAAACCTAAAACAATAATTTTAAATATCCCTAAGTTTCCAGGGCAGTGCCCTTGGCTCAAAGAAGTAGGGTGCTGGCCCCATATTCCAGAGGTGGTGGGTTCAAACCCAGCCCTGGCCAAAAACTGCAAAAAAAAAAAAAAGAAAAAGAAAAAGAAAAAAAATCCCTAAATTTCCTTAAAAAATTATGATTCCCTAATCATACAATTAAATATATGGTCCAGCAAGCTGACTTTTCGGTATATATGCAAAAGAATTTAAAGCAGAGTCTTGTACAATTATGTTCATTATTCACAATAGCTAAAAGGTGAAAGCAACCCAAGTATTTATGATTGGATAAATGGATAAACCAAATGCAGTATTTACATGCAATGGAATATTATTTAGCTTTAAAAATGAAAGAAGCCATGTCATATGGTACAATATGAATGAACCTCAAGGACTCTATACAAGTAAAATTATCCAGTCACAAAAAAAGACAAATACCATATGATTACTTTTATATGCAGTATCTAACATGGTTAAATTCATAGAAACAGAAAACAGAATGATGGTTTCCAGGGGCTGAAAGCAGGGGGGAAAGGGGAGTTGTTTTTTAGTGGTATTTTAGTTATGTTTTAGTGTTTAGAGTTTCAGTTTTGAAAGATGAGAAGTTCTAGAGATCTGTTACACAACAATGCGAGTATACTTAACACTACTGAAATGTACACTGGTAAATTTTTATTCTAACTGTTCTTTACCTCAGTTAAAAGTTCCTAAACCTTGTCTTTCTAGCTGCAACTCTATGGAATAACTTTCTATGATAACCATCATCTCCTTTGCCTCCTACTCCCTCTTCAACTTGCTGCCATCTGACTTCTGCCCTCACCATTCCTCTAAAACTGTTCTTGCTAAGGTTGTCAATGACCTCTCAGTATTTTGGGGCTTAGTATATTCAACCTAGGGTTTGGGGCTCTGTTCATCACTTCTTCCTGGAAATTCTTTTATCCTTTGGATTCTGTGAGACTCTACCTTGTTCTATCCTGATAATACCAGAATTTTCCTACCAGATCCTTGGTCTCAGGGATTGAAGAATGAATTCACAGACTTCAAGTAAGCAAAAGCAAGAGAAGTTATTGAAATGAAAGGAAAGAGGAAAGCCTCTGGTGCAGCAGAGGGAAGCCCAAGCAGGTTGCTGCAAGAACTGTTCCGTCCAGGGGTTTATATATTTTTCCATACATTCCCTTTTCCTGATTGGCTCTTTCTACATATAAAATAAGGATTCTATATTGCACTAATCACTGTATTTGCTCCTGAGATACATGAGGAATGCAGTTTCCAGTTGACCCCTCACCTATTTCCATGGTGTCATAAAGTTTATGGTGCAATGTTCCATTTCCCCCTTCTGGGGACTAGGGCATGCTGATTGTACAGTTGTGAGGCTGTGATTTTTCCTGTTGTCCCATCTCACCGGGGCCGTTTTTCCAGTCCCTCATTCTTGCCTGCCTTACACAGCTTCCCCC